ATTCTGGGGGTAGCCTTTCAAAGTCAGACCCCTCTTTCCTATGCCTGCTAGTGAAACCCTTCCTCCGGGCTCCTACCCCCCTCGGGGCTTCCTAGCCCCCCTCGCCTCAGGCCCCCACCACTGGGCCCAGCCCTCGGGCTGTATAGAAGCCCCAACTGTCCCCTCCCAGGCGAGCTTCCTTCTAGCTAGCGCCCTGCACGCAGCCTAAGTCACTTCCCCTTTGCAGCTTAACTGGCTGATCGGGCCCCCCCTTAACCCCGCTCTGTCAGGGCTGGTGCACGGGGGGGATCGCAGGGTCCTGGTCTGGGAAAGGTTGGGTCCCCCGATCTGTGGGGTGGGGGAGGGGTTGCGCTGCAGGGATTGGGGCCCTGCCAATAGCAGCGAAGAAAGGAGAATAGAATGGGGAGGGGGGTTAGATGGAGCAGACAGACTGACCAACAGACCACGCCCCCTGCTATCGGTGGGGGGTACCTCCATGGTCATTCGTCCCCCGTGCGCCCCCAGCCGTGCTGTGTGTGACACCCCCCGCCTCCGCTTTCCCCTCTCAGACATCGACGAGTGCAAGAAGACCCCAGATATCTGCGGCCCCAACGCCACGTGTATCAACACCAACGGGAGCTACTGGTGTGAGTGCCGGGCCGGATATGTCCCCTCCAACAGGAACACGACCCTGTGCGAAGGTGGGTCCTGCCGCTGGGGGCATGGAGGGGGAACCTTGGGGGGGCTGGGCAGGGTCTGGGGCTACACAGGCAGAGGTCTTGCCCGAGGGGGCAGTGAGCTGGGGACTGGTCTGGGACGGTGCGCCAGCTCCCCTGCTCCCCATGGACGGGGTCCCTCTGGGTCTCAGCCCTGGCTGGGGAGGGCTCAGCCTCCAGGCCCTCACCTCCCGCGAGGGGGAGGGGGTGAGCAGGGCTGCCAGGGGCCGGGCATCTCTCCCCCTCCCCCAGCAGTGCCTGTATTCCTGCTGCACGGCTGGAGTCTCTGCCCTGGGAAGATGGCAGCAGGGGGCGTAGTCTGGGCCTAGAGGCCACTGTGGGGCCAGCCTGGGGCTCCCTGCTGGATTCTTCCTCCCCCCAGCCCCCCAAACACACCAGAACCACCCACAGCTGGGGGAGAGGGTTGAGGGGAGATACGGCTGGGATGATTCCACAGCCCCCGCCCCACCCCACTGCGGCTCAGTCCCCCTAGGACGGGGAGGGGGGAGGGATCCTTTCACAGAGACCAGCTTGTGAGCGGAGGATGGGGAGAAGGGGCTGTGCACATGTGTGGGGCTGGGGAGGTCACTGCTCCCCCTGCTGGGAGAGGATCTATTACACCCATATCACTGACGGGCTGGGTGTGTCCCTGCTGCGGGGAGTGAGGGGAGGCTGCTGCTGCCCCCTGCTGGGGGGAGTGAGTCCTGCTCTGTGTGCCTGGGTCTGGTGCATGCGCCTACCCAGCCAGACCCCGCTTCCACTGGGGGCAGGCAGCCATGCTCTCATCTGGCCACTAGGGGGTGCAGCTGCTAGTTCGAGGGACCCTCCCACTGCCCCAAGCTCCCTGGAGGGCAGCGCTGTGAGGGGCCATGTGCTGTGACTGGCATTGCCAGCCCAGCCCCAGGCTTCCCTGAGACATCCCGAGTTCCAGCGGCATGGCGGGGGACACCCGGGCTGGCCAGCTCTGCGTTGCTCCCCAGGGCAGGGAGTTTGCCCAGGGCACAGACCGAGAGGTCTCTCTGGGCTCGTAGTGCAGTGGATTGGGAGACCCCTTTGTGCTGGTGAAGCTGTCGCATGGGTCCCATCACCCAGCTCAGCACAGGTGGGTGATACAGGAACGTCTCCCTGCCAGGACTGTACAGAGCGTCCCCTCTTGTGTTGCAGATATTGACGAGTGTCAGGGCCTGAGCCCGGCAGACTGCGGACCCCACTCGAACTGCACCAACGTGGCTGGGAATTACTCCTGCAGCTGCAGCGATGGCTACAAGCCCAGATCTGGGAAAGCCAACTTCACTCACGCGAGTGGGGACACCTGCCAGGGTGAGCTCTCCCTTGGCCCCCACCTCACCCTGCTCAGTCCCCTCTGCCCCCCATACACACACCGCTGGGCTCATTCCAGGCCTGGTGCTGTGCCAGAGGCTGCTGCCGGCTGCAGCAAAGGCACTGGATCCACTCACCGGGGCTGTGATGCGCTGTGACCCCCAACTGCTGCCCCAGCGCGTGGGGCCAGGATCTCCCCTGCCTCGGTGATTGGATTGGGAATAAACCCCTGGGTTTGCAGGGAGGCGCCGGGGAGACGGGTGGGGCCCTCGCTGTCCCCAGCACACAGAATCCAGGCTGCTAGTGCCCCCGAGCCTGGGAAGGGGCCTCGTGGATGGTCCACATACAGCACAGTGCGCTCTGCACAGTGCGCGTGTCTGGCAGGGCTGCTTTTCCCTTCCCAGCTGGAGCGGCTCATTCCGGACAATAGCCAACTTGCTCCCGGTCGCTGACCCAGTAACTGAACTCCTGGCTCTAACCAGCCCCGTTCCCCAGAGCACGGTGCATGTTGGACGCCTGGATTATCCCCCAGCAGCGTCACCCCAGTGCCCAAGGTACAGCTCCTCGATCAGCCTGACCTAGCGCTTTCTCTCTCCTTGCAGACATTGACGAGTGCCAGCGAAACGGCACAATCTGTGAGCCCCACGGGACCTGCATCAACACACCAGGGAGTTACATGTGTAAATGCAGTTGGGGATTTGGGAAGAGTCAAAAGGATCCCTCTAAGATCTGCACAGGTACAACGGGAGCTGGAAACAGTCGTGGCAAAGGCATGATGTTTCTGGCTTGTCTGCAGTGTTGCTAATTTGTGGAGTTTCCTTAAAGCCCCACCTCCCGGAGTCACGTGATTCCACTTTTGGCTAAAATCAAAATTAGGGCCCAGCCCACATGGTGGAGGAAAAACTTCCAAATTGTACGGTGGGGTGACCAACAGCTCCCAAACCAGAGTCAAACAAAAGAAAGCCAAAATGAATTGTTAAAAAGAAAATTCTTGTCATTTTTAAACCAATCTCGTGACTTTTTTGCAGCCTGGCTCACGGTTTGGGGCTTTTATTGATTGGTTGGCGTCGGCGATGATGTTAATGCACGGCCACTGAGCTTACCCAGGATCTCTGACACTAACCCACATGCGTGGATGGGGAAACTAACCAGGTTGCCCTGAGGTCTCGCTCTTTCTCTGCGCCACACCCGGGCAGTGTCTGTTCTGACTCCCAGCCTGTCTTACACATTGGAAACTGAGCCCGGGGACTGAACGTCACCATTTCTCTTGCCATGCTGCTTAATTCCACCGCTGCACCAGCGTAGGGCATTGGGGATGTCATTAGAAGCTGCAACATCCCCCTAAACCTGCAGCTGCAATCAGAGCCCAAGATGCTCTTTCGTAGCAGGGCTTTGAGGTGGGGGCAGGTCAGGTCTTTGCAAAGTAAACTGGGCTGAGACGGAGCCGAGGACTCTGTGTTGGATCAACCTTTAATACAGCTTGGGCTCAAAAAGCCCATTAGATTCTGGAACCCCATTAACCAAACCCTCAGCAGCTGCTAAGGAACTGGCATTATGAAGGAACAAGCCTTGGTCATTAGCAGGAATCAAACCCCGGCCCTGCCTGTTGAAAGCACACATTTCAGCTGCTGGAGCTAAGGGAGTTACTCCATTAGCTAGTCATTGTAACAGGCTGTTATGGGAACCAACCACTAGACCAGGACAACTTGCTCTCTCCTTGTTCCGTGGCTCAGCGGCCTTCGCTAGAGGCTGGCACATACAAGCCCCTTCACAGGCCTGGCGTAGGCCCGTTGCCTTTCAAGTGATCTAACAATGGAAGAAAAATTGAGTTTCCTGCCAAAGGAACAAGGGATTTTTTCCAGCCTTGATTCTCTCCTGGCCGTGAGCCATGGAGACGCAAAGCTCCTCTCAGTGACAGGGAGCAGAGGGTAAAAGCTTCATGGTGAGGCAGGGGAGACACATGCTTGGCCTTGTATGGAGAAAACAAGCTGAAAGAGACAAGTCTAGTGGGTCGGGTGTGAGACGAGGACAAAGGAGATTTGGGTTCTAGTCCCAGCTCTGTTACTGCTGGGTGTCCTTGGGCAACTCCCTGCCTCAGTTTTCTCTCCCACCTCTTGTCCATTTAGACCAGAAGCTCTTTATGGCAGTGTGTGTGCAGCGCTCTGGGTGCTGCCTTTATGCAAATAACGACCGAGGGGAAGGGGCGTAGCGGGAAATAGCAAAACGCTTCACGGGAAAGAGAGAGAAGGGGAGTCTGAGACAGAGCTGCTGGAACACGGCCCAGGGGAAGGATCCGTGAGTGCTCTTGACGCTCCCCACTGTTTGACTTGATTGCTGACGTCCAGGAGAAGGGGATTTTACCCACAAGGATTTCTGTGAGAAGCAAAAATATCGGGGAGAGCTTAGCTTTCTTCTGTGGCCCTGCCCCTACTTCCTCAGGAAGGATGGTCACCCATCTGTCCCCTGGGATGGTGACTGATCGGCCACTGCTGATCTGAACGCCAGGGGGAGTCAGCAGAAAAGCTCTGCATGCTGATCCAAACCTGCTCGTTCACCAGCCGACCCTTCGACTGTTTGGGTGGATAAATGTCTGTGACATTATTGGCAAACTGTTTGCTCCGAAAACTTGTCACTGATGTTGTACAGTTGTTTGCCTGAGTCCCGTGGTCTTTCTCTGCTTCCTGATTGGACGGCTGAAATGTTGGGTTAATAAGCAGGCGAATGTTGAATTCCAGCACTCGTTCCTGGCTGGGATTTCTGGGAGAATCGGTTATGGCCATTTCCGCAGCGGCTCAACCACTTCCCCCAACCCGCGGGAATGACTGACAATGCGCCCGTCCCCCATGTGTCGCCACCAACTCAGTGCTTCTGTATGTGAAATGGTCACAAAGCGGGGGCCAGAGCCCCAGTGGTGTAAATTGGTGCAGCACCACTGACTTCAAGGGGTTTTCGTCCCAGCTCTGCTTCTCCAGCTCTCATTGCCCCAGATAGGACTGGGGGGAGAACTGAACCGCTGGGTGGCGACTCCGGCTGGGGCTATGCTGGGGGTCAGGCTGGGCGGGTCTCTTCCGGTTTCGGCTTCTGTCACGAAGTATTGGGGGACTCAGGGCCCTGCACCCCCGGCTTCCTGCGATTCACCATGACTCTCACCCAGCCAGTAAAGCAGAAGGTTTATTTGGATGACAGGAATACA